ATGTAAGCTTATGTGTGTGTATTTCTTATCTTACTTATCACATATCCGTAGCTTATTTCTCCTCCGATTATAAATATTCAGTCACGTTTGATCAAATCGACTTGACTTACTGGTTTGTTTTGTTTTCTGATCAACGATTGTACGAAATATACATATCCAAAAATCCATTCTCATATCTGACTTATTTAATTCCATTATTCACTAACGCAATTTAAGTTAATGATCATTACATACAAGAATTGATGATATGTATATTTCAATCAATAACAATCAGAAACGATCTAATTGGAGTCTTATATTCAAGGGCTACTAAAATAATTTTAAAAAAATACAACAGTAATTTCGTTTGCATGGTATATTTTCATGATGATCATATCATTTCTTAACATTGTTTATGAGTCGCTGATGTTATTAAGAGAACAATATAAGAAATATAGAAATGAATATCCACGAAGTTAGACAATTTTCGACATTAGATTTTTTTGGGCAGAAGTATCAGGAGTATTCGTTCAATGAACTAAACTTATTTATTATTATTATTATTATTATTATTATTATTATTATTATTATAAATTAGTATATTTGAAGTAGTATTTTAATCAACATAGAATCGTGAGGAAAGACGTTTAATCGATTTATTCAATGAAATTTCATGTTATATTTTCAAGAATTTTTTTTGACCCACATGTCCGTTTTTTGTTGTTGAAATGTTGAAGTAGCCAACACGATCAATAATTTAATCTCTATCAAATATTCGTTTACTCAAGGCAAATTGTTATTATTGATTTTTGAACATGTTTGATGACATAACTATTTTGTAACAGAATGAGTAATTTTAAAATGATGAATGATTATTTAGTATACAGAGTTTTCATATGCATAATGTAAAATACTTGTCCATTAGTGAAACTGGAAATATGTCTTAGTGATTAAGGCGAAATGTTGAGACTATAATTTGTGGACGACCTTTGAGCGACACTGAAGTGACCTTGAGAGTGGACACCTACTGATTAGGATTTAATGGGGGTTATAAAACCTTAAGAATTCTCATTTACAGTTGATGGTTAGGGTTAAAAATTAGATTTAGGGTTTTCATCACAAACTGACACCAACTATAATGCCGAAATTCTATTAGGCCAAATGTATGAACGAATTTCGCTACAACGTTCGTGACTTGTTGTCTTATATCTGATTAGTTCGTCCATAAATTATAGTCTCGGCAGGCAAAATATAACTTTAATTGACATTTGACTAGCTTTCATATATCCATCATAACTAGAAAGTCATTAGCTTAAAAGCGTAAAGATAGCGATATTTACTTGCTCGAATACAATGTGTATTGTATTTATATGACATAAATAAAAGTAGATGAATCTTGATCTCGTCACCGAACTGATCAACTAATAAAGAACTATGTATTAGTTGTTCGAATTAGATCACATCTACCATTGATTTGCCGAGAGCTATTTCCAAGATTAGTAGAACTCGATTGTAAAGGTTAATGTTTTGTGATAAATGATACTTCAAGACTTTGAGCACAAATTCAGAAATGTAATCGAAATCATGGAACGTATAGTGTTTTTGATCAATGATCAAATGTTATCAGTTTTATGTTATAGATTTTTGCAAAATATAATGTGAGATGTCTATAAAACGTAAAACAGATTGGACAATTAGACTGTTAGCACTAATGAGGAGCATACATTAAAGAACAGATATTCCATTAGTGTTCAATAGGTTTAGGGAAGGAATATACTTTCAGCAGGTGTTCTATCAGTTTGATATAATCACTAATTGTTCATGGCTTTCAAATCATACTGCAATGATATCATGTGTAAGATAATGTTGTCATCATTCACAGTGAACACATACAGTACAACAATAACAAATCATAAAGATGAACAAGTTTCCTTATGAACTATTCTATCAGGAAGCCAAATCAGTTGAAAGAAAACAACCAAGATGATAGCAAAAGGTTAATTTTTCTAAATTCGTTTCTGATAATATTGATGTATAAACAAATTTTTGTAGGGTTATTGTTACTAAACCTCATCTACTATCTTTTATTTAATAATTTCTTATAATGTTAATAATTTACTCAACTTGATTGATCCATTCTTTGACGTATATTTCACAAGATACTGTTAAATAAATGTGAATTAATTCAAAGGTAAAATGTGCTTATGAAGAAAGTAACTTTGTTTTACATGAGAGTAATTTTGAAACCGTCTACATAAATCGATGAACTACTTAGTAAACCAAAAAACAAAGAGTGAGATGCTTATAAAATTATCTAGTTTTGAGATGGTAACAAGTAGTTTTAGTAAAAATACATGATCAATGGAATTTTTAGATTGGACAGTGGCTGATTGGCAACACAGGATTATTGTTGTGATGATTCATCAACTGGTTAAAGTTAAAAATGGGAACCATTGAGTTTTGATTCCACTTCTTAAAGATTTGATAGTACTAAGTTTATTCTTATGTAGATTCTTGCCTTTACATCATTTAATAATAACAACAGATGTAAGTAAAATAATTGACTAGTCTCTTATATTTCTGGTAGTTGTCCAGCAGACTACAAAAACGTTTTTCCAATCAAACCGAATAGTTCAAAATTAAAAGCTGTTTATCTTTACAGAAAATTCTCTAAGTAAAACAATGAGAAGTATATGCTAATTTTTCATTTCAACTTCTTTTTTTTTCTTTATCATTGTAACATTAAATAATTTAATATTATCGTGCCAAAACGAGCGTGTGTAAATTTGTCAGATGGGAAATTAGGTAGTGCAAAAAAATAGTACTCTGTTGTCAAATGAGAACTAGTTTCTAGACTAGTTTCTAAAAAAAAAACATAATCTCGTATTTATCAAAGTAAATGAATATAAACTCAGAAAGAAAGGAGCATGTTAAGTGTTTCTTTATGTATTAAGAAAATTCCGTCAGACAGTATCATGAGAACAACAAGTGTAAGCGAGAATTACTGCTTTCAGTTTGATCTCTCTCAGGCAGTAGTATTCAGATGCACAAAGAAAAAAAATACTAAACTAATGGATGCCAATTTGTAAGACAACGATAATAATGAACTACATCACGTAATTAATCATAATAATTTAAAAAAGTATAAATTAGAAGTGCAGAGACAAGCGTTCTTGTAGTGATAAGAATAATGATATCTTAACTAGATGTTTTGAAGTTAGAAGTCGAAAGTTGGAAGAATCAGCATTAAAATAAGAACCAATAAAATGTGCTCAAACTACGTAACAATGGGTAGGCAGATAATCGGCATAAATATAAAAATAATGAAGCGGAGATATAAACGGAAGTGAGGAAAAACAAATCAAGGGATGAATAATTAATGAAATCAGTTATAAATCTTCCCTAGCCATAGAGAGCATAGACGTATCCTAAATTTTGTCACAACATACAGACTAGAGGTGTAGGCTCGAATTTTTGTAACTTCCAGAATACGTAAAAGACACGATCGAACTTTTTTTGAAACTGATAACATATATGATGTCATTCGGAATGGTTATATATTTTCTACCACATGATCACGTGTGATAAGGTGAAGATAAGTATTGTCATCTTTTGAACGTTTGAACGTACAGAGATGTTCACTTATTCGTTGGTTAAGTTGATAGATGAGACGACAGACATAAATTTCTTCGTGGGAGTGGCTGAATCGGTGAATACGCACTAAACGACTGGAGAGCGACAAGCTATGATTATATATGTGTAAAATATACTACGGAAGGGGGTTAGGGCCAAAGGAGGATGAGAAATTGAATCTATTGTTTTCGCACGCGGAGTCGGGATTTGCGACAGTTGTTTGCCAACGCCTCATAAGTGCATAAGTTTTATACCTGACCTCCCTTTGGTCCAGTTCCTTTGATTCTGTAGATTATTTTGAAGGAAAACTATTTTGGAGAGACGTTTCCAGAATTGGTTAGGTACTCTTATATTAGGCTGGTGATTGTTCTGCATTTTCCTTTTAAAAGCTATATCGGGTAATGCTCTGAGATGCGTTTGGAATGTGATCAATTTGTGTGGCTAATGTAACCTGCCCCATAGGAGCAAGTAAATTTATAAATGTACATCGATATTTGGAATCTCGAATCAATTTATGATGCAATCTTTTCTATCTTTCCATAAATATATATTTGCTTAACAACTATAAATACGAACTTTTAACTTCAGTTAACGATTTCGTTGAAAAGAAAATTTTCTTCGCTAACTTCTCTTTATTTTTATTCAATGAACAATTAGTTAGTTCGATCAAAATAGTTTATTCAATGACATGCACATTCGAAAGAATAAGGAAGTACTACTTAATTCTACAGTCTCAGTTCTCAAACTTTAACATAACATAAACTGTTTCATAAACTACTCTTTAACTCTACCAAAGATTTATTTTTCAACTCAAGATAACTATCAATGGCTGAATGTGATACAGACATCAACATTTGATTTTGCATCGCAGATAAAAGTTTTATTTCATATATTTCCACGCATATAAATTTATGCAACCACTAATACATTCTTCTGAGATTGACTTTTGCATAGAAGATGCAACAATAAAAAAATTGCCGTGACCAGTGAAGCTAATCCGTATGGGGTAGACACAGGTATCTACCTCAGTACAATGGAACATGGTTGAGGTTAGACATTAACACCGTCAGATGCCGACTCAGTGGTCTAGAGGTTAAGCGTTAGAGTGCGAGAGTGAAGGCTCTGTGCTCGAATCCCACGAACGGGATCATGGATGCGTACGGCTGAGGAGTATTACAATAGGATGGAACGACCGTCAAGTGCTTCTAGGTTTCAATGGTGGTCTAAGATCAATCGGTTCATGATCTCAATAAAAAAAATTACTGGCGTTTTCTATTTTAAACATCGCTTATAATATCAGCTTCAATATATGCATTAAAAGTACTATACATTAAAAAGTTTTAGTCATTTCACGATAATCAGAATTATTAATTAAACATTAAACTCACTTTTTTTTCATGAGACTGAATTGCATTCTTGATAGTGTTTAAAGGATTTCCACGATCATGTGGTTTTGAATTTATTGTACCACCTAATAAACAATGTAGTTCATCTGATGTACGACAGAGATCTACACAACTTATTGCAAAATCCATACATTTAACTGCTAATTCTGAATATTCTTCCTGAAATTAAGAAAAAAAAACGTTTGTATATTATATAGAAATTAACAGACTTAAACGATAATTCTACGATATATTGTTGGATAATACCTATGAAAAAGAAGAACTACAACGAGACATTGAGATGGAGTAATATGAAATAAATGCAAAGTACTTGCAAATTTAATAGGATTATTTGTAAAGGTTTTACATCTATACTGGCCTACTTTCATATTTGTTGACTCGGATTAATGGTTTTTTTGCATTACTTGTATTTCACTAATTTCTAGTCTGCTGATGTTTCTTTTTATTTCTTTTTCCATTCGGATTTACTTACAGGCAGATGGGACTTCAAATATCAAAGAGATGAATGACTCTCTGCATATCTTCCTAATAACGTACCTGTAGCGAACGAGAACACAAGTGGGGACAATCGAATGTATTTGAATACAAAATTACAGAATCTCTTAATAAAATCTAAGAACCATACAGTTAATATTTCATTTGATAAATGTCAATCAATCGTCTCAGCCTTTATTGTTTCTTCATTTCCTTCTGCCTCCAGATATTTCATTTTCGATTGATGATACATACTACATATATCTGTCGACACCAGTAGTACATACCACATACCTACTTGATTCTATAAAATTTTTTAATATACTGTAAAACAATGGAGTTTCATTCAAGAACATTTTTTGGTTCTGAGAAAAATTGCTACCGTACCTATCCTCATTTTTAACAATTTATTTGAATTATAGAAATATAATTCAGAGAAGAAAATTTTCTTTTCGATGAAATCGTTTACTCAAATTGTACATTCGTATATATATATAGTTTCTGCACGCAAAGTTCAGGTTTGAGTTCATGGATTGCTAATGCCTCAGTAGTGCATAAATTATTGATTCGACTTCCCCTCTTCGATCCAGTTGCTTTGACTTTGTAGATCACTTTAAAAGAACAATCTTTTGGAGCGATGTGTCCACAGTTAATTAAATCCTCCTGTATCGAACTAGTAATTGTTTTACATTCTCCTTTTAAGAGCCAAGCCGGATAATATTATGAGATGTGTTTGAACAGCGATCGTTTTGTGCAGCCTATATAACGTTATATACATGTACAGCTTAATTTTCTTTTTCTTATTCAATGACAATATGGGTTATTTGAATTATTTTCAGGATTTTATCCATAAATTTATCAGTAACGGCTTATATATGTTAGGTGAAATTGGTAGTAGTAGTAGTAGTATTAACTGAACAATTCATTCAAGTGGAAAAATAAAAGTTTATATTAGAGAATAATACAAATAAATACAGGATGATTAGTGTTTGTTTATCGTAAATCTCTTCTTATAATTAAAAACAATTAAACTTATATAACTTCAGTGGTTGAGATCATGAGTCAATTAAAGCTAGACCACCATGGAAAACCTGGAAGCACTGGACGGCTATTCCGTTCTATTGTGGGACTCCTAAGCAGTGCATATCTACGATCCCGCCCCCTGCGAGATTCGAACCCAGGACCTATCGGTTTCGCAGGCGAGCACTTAACCACTAGACCACTGAACTGGCCGGCATCCAACGGTGTTAATGTCTAACTTCAACTAATCCACCATTGTCATCAGTGAGTAGATATCTCACAACAGACCTGTTTTAACTCCACTGGTCAGTGCTTCTCACTAGAACTCCTGGATATATCTCTTGAAGCCAGTCACTAGTGAGCATATGTTGATTAATATCACAAAGGGTTTTGTGGATATAATAGTTATTTCAACAGTTGAGAACATGAGTCATTTGAAGCTAGGCCAATTTATTTGAAATAGTGTGTTATATGAATATTAGTTTGATAGATTAACCAACTATAACAATTTAAATAAAATTTTAACAATTTAATTACTATTAAACACTTACTTTGAATTGTTTTTCTTGAGAAGCTAATTGATAAAGTTCATTACGTAAAATAAATGCTGTAGATACTGGATCAGATGTAGTTAAAGCTAAATAAGCTGAACTAGATAATGCTTGATAGGTATGTAAGCGTTGTTGTTCTAGTATCAATGAATCCTAAATATTATTAATAAGAAGAACAAAAAAAAGGTAAATTACTAATGAAAATTTCAATAAAGTAATAATTAACTTCTTAAATTATGAAAATATTTAAATAAATTTTGTTTTGAAGTATATCCCTATTGATATGAGATCTAGATAGCTATAAGATAGAGGTGTGTAAAATTCCACATTACTAGTAAATGTAAAATGGATATTAAATTTTAGGGAAAAATATAGTCAATTCTTATTCATTGATTGTTGTTAATGGTGATTAGAATTTTAAGACCTAGATAAGATTCTTTTTTGGAATATTTAAGAAATACAAACTTATGGACTCAAAAACGTTTTACACAATACAAAACGTTTTTTTAAATCATACAAATGGGAATGCTTCAAGTTTAATTTAAAGGATCAGGATCAATTGTTCGAATGAACTGTAACATACTATCCAAACCATAAAGAATAACTGTTACTGTATCATTTGATAACCAAATAGTCGAAAGGGATTCCCATCTATAATAAATGTCACTTTCCTAAGATATAATTGATCACATCTAAATTTTCATTCAATAACTTGAAAGTTATGTGATCACTAATATAAATTATATTTTTAATTGAAATTAAAGCTGGGTATTTTCTTCAGTAGAATGAGAAAGGAACCGCTTACATTTCGTAAGTTAACAATTATTTTCATTGCATTTTATGACTTGAAAAATGTCTAATAAGGGAATGACAAATATTTACGATGACACTAACATATGGATTGTATGTTAATAAGCTTTTGAAGATTAGTAAAATTCTATTTGAGATGCATATACTTTCTTATTCAAATTAATTATATAACAACTGATGAGAAATAAAATATCATGTTTATTCGCAAAGATGGATAGTGACTAGTAGTGGAATCCAGGACTCGTGTTTCGTCCTATTTGGGACTCGTCAGCTGATTGTGCCTGCATCCCAGATTTGATATTTTCATCTTATAATACATTTATTTGATCAATATGATCATCATTATTTTTATTCGGAAGATAGAACTAGAAAAATACTGGTATTAATAAAATTGATAATTTCACTTGAATTGATTTTAAGTTATAAGAATTTTTATAAAGGCATGTTAGAATATTCCATTCACATGTCTAATTATATAATAAGAAAATTGCTTATAATATTTTCATAGAAGTTTAAACAGGCTCCTAGAATTCGATAATCAAGAGTCAGTAATAAAAATTTCTGTTCCATAAACTTAATAATACCAAAATATTTATTTGATGCTGCATATTTTCCAATGCATTCTTGAATGTTTTATAATCGATTTCATGTTTAATTACAATAGTTGAATTTATGAGTCAATCTAAGGTAGACTACTATTGAAAACCCGATATCACTTGATAGGCATTTCGTCATAATATGAAGGTCTTCAGCAGTGCACATCCACGATCCTAAACGCGGACTTGAACCTAGAACCTTTGGTTTTGTGCGTGAACGCTCCACCTCTAGACCGCTGAACCAGATGAGTTGCAGTTTTAATTATGAAAACACTACAATATTCACAGATCTCCATGTTGATAACAATCATATACTTACAGGTGACTAACTCCTAGAGTTTCAGTGAGAAACCGTGATCATTGGATTTCGTCCGTGTAGAGTGTGAGGCAGTTACCCAACGAAGATAATAGAAGATGGTTGAGCTACATCGTGGATTGTTTAAAGTTAAACGCTATCACCACTGAACGCCTGCCCAGAGGTCTAGAGATTAGGCATCCACGCGCGAGACCGGGGTTCTCGATTTTGAGTCTTGTGTGCGAGGTCGTGTATCCGCATTGCTGAGGAGTCCCATACTAGGTCAGATTGGCCTTCCAGTGTCCCCAGGCTATCAGTGGTGTTCTAGCTTCGATTGATCTATGATTTCAACTGTGAAAATACTATGATCTCAAATCGTCATACTGATTTGGCTTATTTGGCTTATTTCAATCTTAATTTATGTCACACGTAATCATGAAAATTTTGAAACTGTTTTGAGTTTTTTATCCATTTCAGTATTCTAATCACGTTATCTTTTAGCCGAAAGACTAGTAAGTTTATTGAACTGATTCATGATTAATATTTGTTAACAAGGATCTTGTAAAGTAAATATGATAAACAAATAAATGGATATGTGAATAGATACTTTTTTTGTATTTTTCTATTTTACCACTTATATCTATGGTTTTACTTCAATAGAACTACATTTCTGATGTGTATAGCTATTTTCATTCAACATTTATCTGTTAAATTAACTGTCTTAATCATAATTTCTCATAATTAACCTACATTCTGATATTCCTGAATTATTTAATTTTTTTTAAATTAACATTTACTACTACTTATTAAATGTTGTAATATCTATGAAACATCAATTGTGAAAAAAATGTAATAATGAACCAGTGACCGAATTGATAACAGACAATTATCGTTGATGTTCATTTCCATGATCAGAGTTAAAAATTAAAAAAAAACCTCTTGCCAACTGATCATAAAGAGTTATTATTACCGTGGTCAGTATTGAGTTTTATATGTTCTTGTTCAACTATTACAGATGTCTTTTACCGTTGTAGTAAAGGAGAAAGTTTGAAAAAAACAACATTAATTAGAGTTGATTGAAAATAGAAATGTAAACCACTGGATGTTAATTAAGTGGTCTAAATGTTAACAGTGAGTTGCAATACCTAAAATCCTTGGGTTCAAGCCCTGATAGGGTCGTTGAAGCGCAGTGCCAATGAGTCCCATACTAGGTTTAAATATTCACCCATTGCTTTCTCGCCCACAACAGTTGTCAAACTAAGATAAGTTCTTGATGTAAACTATAAATTTGCGCAAGATTATTTTGTATTTTGTATATCGCCAGTATGCTTTATTTCTATCTAACTAATTCTTTTAAAACAATTAGTCCCTTTGATAAATTTTGATAATGCAATGAAGAGAAGTTTATCAGAATTATGTGATATATTTGCGCAATACATTTCGAACAATCTGATCACACATCTATACTTGTTAAGACATTTTTATATGAAAATTAAAAGGTCATCTAGACATGTTAAAGGTAAGTTGTAACAAAGAACAAAAAATAAAGTACACAAAAACAATGTGATAACCACTCTGGATAATAAATCAGTATTACCAGGGTAGGTTAAGGGTAAGGACAAATTGTTTTTGAACGTACAACTATATCACATAATTCTGATTAACTTCGTCTTCTCATTATATTATCGAAATATCTAATTCTTGTTTATTTCCCAGTATTATTAATTAATCAGAAGGTAACCATTATATTATCAGCGCATATTTGTCTGTTCTTTCAACTTGTAATATATATTATACAAGTATAACACGAAAAATTCCAATTATGGTATTTATAGATAGTCTACATAATTCACTTGGTATTGTTTGGCTTGTATCTTCTCATTGAGGTTTAAGACTGCAATTGATCAGTCTGTTATTGGCATATGTGCATACTGTGCGTTTGCCTCGATATTGCTTGAATTCACAAGCTGTTAGTAAGCAATGATGGATAGTGGCTAGCACATATGTCATTAACAGTCTGATCAATTACAGTCTTAAAGCTCAGTGGGAAGATACAAGCAAAACAATATCAAGTGAATTAAAATTCACCCTATTTCATAAGCAACTGGCTATCAGGACTCAGTAGCTGAATGGGTAACGCGATGGCGTTTGAAGCAAATGGTATTGAGTTCGACTCCCAGAGTTAACATCAACCGTGAGATGCAGGTACATCCAGCTGACGAGTCCCAAAAGGGACGAAACACGCGTCCTGGATTGCAGTGCTAGCCACTATCCATTACAACCTACATAAGTTTATATATTCATATGCTTATAATAGGAATTCATAACATTAGAACAATAATAATGTTAATGACAATACAAGTAATCAAAGTTAGTCCTACGCATTACTAAACAGACATAATCGTTTTTTTTCTCTTTCTAGCAGATAGATGATAATGAATGTTCATTCTTTACACATCTTTGTTATAATTTCAATGACAAATCTAAATATCCTCATAAAATGTCAGACATAATGTGAAGTACACAATGTCTAATGGTAAATAGAATACAAGATTTATAAAATAATATATAGAGATTTTTATTCATGACTAAATAATAATTTATGAAAGTAAGCTCATTTGTACAATCATTTATTGTATACAAAATACATTAGTTCGTTATAGAATGACCATAGTTTCAATGTAATACACATCCGTTCTCATTATCATTTCGTTAATTGTCTTTTTTAAAAAAAACCAAAAAAAAACTAGTTAATTTGGAATAATAATTATCGTCATTGAGTTCTTCCTGAAAAAAGCTTTTAATTCAATATACATACTTCCTATATACAGTAAATGAAAGATAATTAACTATTGTAAGGTTATTCATTATATGTTAAATACATTTGTTTATTATAGCTAGTTGTAAGCATATGTAACACCTAAAATTGTATCATGAGAACCATTGTATTAAGAAGAACAGAATTTGAGAAGTATAATTATAGCTTATTAATAGAATGTCAGGATTAGAAAACATTGATTGTGGATCAATTGCATTTAATAAGAATGATTGGGATATTGAATGAAATTTGGTTTCAAACTATTTAACAATAGATTTATGTCCTATCCACGCTTTTATATTTTTCAAATGTTTTCTTATACGTGAATAATTACATTTGGAACTTAACTATAAGTTTGGTACTACAATTCTGAACCTATGTTGATCTGAGAAAGAAAAAAGAGGCAAAATTTCCAATCTTTTAACTTCTATTTGATAGTGGAAGTAAAGTTGTTTTTAGGGTAGCTGTAAAAAATCATTTACTTATTTAAACTCAATTTATTTCTGTGCTTCAATTCATATTCTTTGTCATCCAAACTGTTGAGACCGTTAGATTTCCAGAACTCACTTGGGAAAGGATCTAATTTTGTAAATTTATTTAGAAAATTTGAATTTCTTGGTTTTCGCGCTAAAGG